GCTGATCATTGGAGATTGGAACACAAAGGTTGGAAGTAAAGAAGAATCGAAAACAGTAGGCAGATTAGGACTAGGCAAAAGGAATGAAGCAGCTAAGTGTCTGATAGATTTTTGTGAAGCCAACAACCTATTCATTGCAAATACTTTTTCATACAACCAGATAAAAGGTTACATAGACATCACCAGATGGCCAACACAAAACCCAAATAGATTGCATAATTGGAAGTAAAAGATGGCGAAGCTCCATACTGGTGGCCAAGACTAGACCAGATGCTGATTGTGACACAGATCACAAACTACTCATTTCAAAAATAAAAGTAAAACTCAAGAAGAGAACAAAACTAGTCATCATACCAAAATACCATTTAAACAACATTTCCACAGAATTCATTGACAATATAAGGAACAGATTTGCAGTCCTAAGTATTATAGATCATGAACCAAAAGAGCTTTGGTCTGAAGCCAGGGACATAATAAAAGAAGAATGCAAAAAGACACTTCCAACAGACAAAAGGAAAGTGAAGAAACTGTGGATGACAGATAAAACACTGTAAGCAATAAAGGAAAGAAGAAAAACAAAACAAAAAGGAGATAAGAATAAACTAAGAACCATGAATGCAACACTACAATGGCTAGTGCACAAAGATAAGGAAAATTACTACAATGACAAATGTAGAGAAATAGAAGACAACAACAAAAAGGGAAGAAAGAGACCTATTCCACAAGATTCGAGAAATCAAGGGAAAGTTCAAGCCAAGGACTGGGATGCTCCACAACAATAAAAATAACATAATTCAAGACCAGGAAGGAATAAAAAGATAATGGATGCAATACACAGAAGAGTTATATAAAAGAGATGACAACATGAAGGACAGATGGAATGGAGAGCTATATGAAGATGAACTCCAAATTCTAAAAACTGCAAAAACTGGAAGCTGCAATAAAGGAAATGGCAAAAAACAAGACTCTAGGAACAGATGATATCCAATAGAACTGTTGCAATTCACACTGACAGAGTCAACTCTAGTGCTAACCAACATATGTCAACAGGTATGGAAAACAAAACAGTGGCCAACAGATTGGAAGTGATCAATATACATCCCCATCCACAAAAAAGGAGACACAAGAGACTGCAGCAGCTGTAGAACTATAGCACTACTTCTATGC